GATTGCATTCGCTTCCGCTAAAGATGGCATGTATCTATGTGAGCGACGGTTGTGTGTCCTTAATTTCCTCGAATATGAATATGAACTTATTCACACACACAATACATACATTCATACATGCATACATACATATACATACACACACATATGCAAACACACACATATGTATATACATATATGAGTGTTTGTATATAATTACATATACATATATGTTCATATATATTATATATCTATCTATATCTATCTATCTATCTATATCTATCTATCTATCTATCTATATATATATACACACAACACACATTTACATTTGTGTTATGCGTGTGTGTGTGTGTGTGTAAAATTAATGCGACTGTGTGTGTGAGCGAGAGAGAGAGAGAGTCGGGGCAGAACGTCGCAAGCTTCAGAGTCCTGACAGTAAGACTCGGCGCCGTTCCCTAAAGCCCCTGCTGGAAGTGAAGCCCCGCGGTGGTGCTAAGACCCCGGTGGTATTTGTAGGAACGAAAGTCCTCTCACCTTTTCAGCACATGCGCAGCGAATCGGAAGACAGATTGTTCTTGCATGATAACCTCACAAAAGACACTGGCCCTTATGGTAACCTCATATTACGGACACTTACTTTTTGACCACCTTATACAGCGGACGCTTACTTGCATGATAATCTCACATAACGGACATTTGCTTGCATGATAACTTTATATAACGAACATATACTTGAATGATAACCTCACAAATCGGACACACGCATGATAACATAAAACGGACGGTCACTTGCATGATAACCTCATATAGCTATATTGCTACTTCTTTGTCTTGAATCTTACCATTATTTGCTAGTTCTTTCTCTCTACTCCTGAACCGTTATGTCCACTATCAACACCTATTTTCTTTCTTCTCAACTATGAGCATATCCCGGTCTCTTTGCCTCAACCACACGGTCGCACTAGACGTTCATATCCCACAACACTTGACATCATTCTCGACAGCGCTAACGTATTATTCTTACGCCATTTTGCAAAACTTCCCAGTTTGTACTTTCGACATCTAATGCATTACTTTCGCTCCCTCGTCATGTCCGTCTTTTGTATTCCTTCTCTGGCATTTTTTTACATTCGCTCGTCAGATGTTATTAGCTTCCACCTCTTGTCACACATGCTGCACAAATGACTGTTTTATTGACTTTTTACTTAATGTCATTCGTCTTTAGAGCTTGCTCCTGGACTGCCAAAGAACCACGCTTCTGTTTGCACCTTTACATCTCCCTTCACATCCGCTCCCTGTTTTTTCCGTCTGAACTTTCTGGCATTTCTCTCAGAAAATGTTTGCACATCCTCTTTTCTTTTCCAGTTATTCATCCTTTTACTTTTCTGTTCTCTTTCAAACTCATTTTATTATTATTATTATTATTATTATTATTATTATTATTATTATTATTATTATCATTATCATTATCATCATTGTTATTATTATTATTACTATTATCATCATGGAAATTATTGTTCTTTTTATCAATATTATCCTTTTATCAATATTATATAGATATTATAGTTATTATTATTATCATTATTATCATTATTGTTATTGTCATTAATATTACCATTACTATTATTACTATCGTTATTATTGTAATTATTGTTACAATTATTATTATTATTATTGTTGTTTTTATCATCATTGCTTTTGTCATCAGTATCATTATCATTGTTATTATCATCATCATCATTCTTATCATTGTTGTTGTTCTTGTTATTATTATTTTAATTATCGTCCTTATTATCAATATTATTATCATTACTATAATCATAATCTTTATCACCATCCTCTTTATTACGGCTCTCATCGGCCTCCGCCTGATCACTCCCTCCGCCGCTTCCCACAGGGTACCCCGAGTGCGGCGGCGTCGGCGGCAGCACCATGACCACGCCCTCGGGCATCTCCATCACCCTCGGCGCCCCCATACCCGCCCATCCTCACGCCCCACACCCACTCAATCCCCACTCTCAGCTGCACGCCCATGGCCCCGGCCCGTCCACCAGCATCGCGCCCAATCCGAGCAGCAGCGCGGGCGGCTCGCCCACCCACACCACCTCGCCCATCACCTTCACGACGCTCACGGCAGGGGCGCTGAAGCGGAAGCAGAGGAGATACAGGTGAGGATGAAGGCAGAAGGAAGGTGAGGGCTTCGGCAGGGGGAGAGGAGGGGGCAGGGGAGAGCTCTGGAGAGGAAGGAAGAGAGAATTAATCCCTAGAGTTCAGATTTTAGAGTTTCAGAAATTATTCAGATTTTCAAAAGTTCGTCAGAAGTAGCTGGCTGAAAGGAGTAGCAGTAAGACGTTTATGAAATATAACGTTTATACTTACACTTGCACATGATCATATACAAAAACAAACAAGCAAATAATCACACACACTCACCATGCATGGAACAAATAAACCCCTCTCTTTTCACACACACTCTCAAGTACATACATACATAAAAGGTATGAATGTGAATGATATCTTCCCAATACAAGAAACGTATTTCACCGATTTCAATATATCTTCGTCAGCATTATATATTTTTTTTCTCGAATTTGAAGAGATTCCTTCTCATTCATACCTTTTCTACGTTTCTCAACATGAATACGGTTCACACACACATACACGCACACACACACGCACACACACACACACATATATAGATAGATAGATTAAAAGATAGACAAATAGATATAGATATATACATATATTCAAATTCACACACATTTTTCTGCCTGTCCCTCTCCCTCGCCCCACGCCCTCCGAGACCCACATGACCAAGGACCTTCCTCCCGCAGGACGACCTTCACCAACTTCCAGCTGGAGGAACTCGAGAGGGCCTTCCACCGCACGCACTACCCCGACGTCTTCTTCAGGGAGGAGCTGGCCATGCGGATTGACCTGACGGAGGCCAGGGTGCAGGTAACGGGGTTCTGCTTTGGGTTCTCACGCCGGAAAAAAATATTGTTATTATTATTATTGTTATTACTATTATTATTTTTCTTAATCTTGTTGTTGGTATCATTATTATTATGCTGCTGCTGATGATAATAATAATAATAATAATAATAACAATAATAATGATAATAATGTTACTATTAATATTGTCGTTGTCATTACATTATCATTATTATCTTTAGCACTATTATTTTCATCATTATTATTATTATCGTTATTATTGATAATAGTAGTAATTATTATTAACAGTAATAGAAATATCCATTATTGGTATTTTTACTGTTATTATAATTATTACAATCATTATTATTTTTTTTATTATTATTACTATTATAATCATCATGGTTATTATAATTATAATTATCGTCATATTATCTTTATCATTACCCTCATTATTATTGTTTTTAACTTTGCTACCATTACCATTATCATCATTATTGCTAATATTATCTTCATTGCTATTTTTATCATTATTACTGTTATTATTATTACTACTATTGTTATCTTTATTGTCATTGCTGTTATTTTTTGTTGTTCCTTATCACTATCATTATCATTATTATTAGTAGTAGTAGTAGTATTGCTATCACTATTATTATTGTTATTATCATTTTTATTATTATCATTATTATTTTATCATCATTATTGTTATTACTACTATCATTTATTATCATCATTGACCATTGTTGCTGTTTTGTTGTTCCTGTATATAATTGTGATAATCATATAAGAATGAGAGAGAGAGAGAGAGAGAGAGAGAGAGAGAGAGAGAGAGAGAGAGAGAGAGAGAGAGAGAGAGAGAGAGAGAGAGAGAGAGAGAGAGAGAGAGAGAGAGAGAGAGAGAGAGAGAGAGAGAGAGAGAGGAAGGGAAAGAAACACACCTACAGCTAATGTCTCCACAGGTCTGGTTCCAAAACCGAAGAGCGAAATGGCGGAAGCAGGAGAAACTGGCCGTAAAGCACCAACAAACAGCGGCGGCTCAGCAGATAGCGGCGCAGCAGATGACGGTGGTCCAGCAGGTGTCGGTTAGCCAACAGGCAGTGAACACGACGCTAGCAGGGAACAAGCACGAGCAGGAGAGCCCCAGTTTGTCCTCCATGCCACGTAAGCAGGCGTGGGGAAAAGCGGGTATAGATAGGTTTTGGGAAGGGACGGAGAGAGAGAAAGAGAGAGAGAGAGAGAAAGAAGAGAGAGAGAGACTGAGGGAGAGAGAGAGAGAGAATAGCGAAAAAGAGAAAGATAGAGAAAGAGAAAGGTAAAGAAAGAGAGAGAGAGAGAGAGAGATAGAGAGATTGACTGATCGATCCTTCCTTTTCGTTGAAAATTATTTTCCATTTTTCCACTACTCTCCTTGCTATGTTAATTAACCCTCACCTTACTTCCTATCCTCATAAATTTGTCTCTATGGCGCTTCAGTTACTACTCTTTATTATCATTATTGCCTCATTTCCCCCCTTTTATATTTCACATCACCACCAATGCGTTAATGTTTAATTAAAATGTCAATGATTTCTTGCCTCCATTTTCCATATCATTATCTATATACATAGAGTAAGACAATGAAACAGACACTTTTTTTTCTCTCTCCTTTGAACATGCAGCAGTCACCACGTCTCCGGAAGTGACTTCATCCTCCGTCGCTCCGCCCACCACCCCGCCCACCGGCTCTCAGGCGCAATCCTCCGGGCATCACCTCTCCTTCGGTGAGTTTGCTAAAGTATTCTATTGTATTTTTATTTATCTTTTATCATTGTATGATTATTGTTATTATTATTATTGTTGTTGTTATTATCATTATTATTATTATTATTATTATTATTATTATTATTATTATTATCATTATTATTATTATTATTATTATTATTATTATTATTATTATTATTATTATTATTATTATTATTATTATTATTATTATTATTATTATTATTATTATTATTTGTAAGCAACGTTTTTCTAGGATAACTTGCTACAGTTTGGTTTGAGTCGATCTCCTGAACGAATTCCATGGTGATACTTTGCCATAAATT